CCAGTATTTATTTATTTATTATAGTTTTAGTTAAGATATTTTTTGTTTTTCCGAAAGTAAGAGTATTAAAAAGAACAGAGGACCATGCAGGACCCGGAGTTAGAGAATAACAAGATATAAATGTCTTACATATATAGCATATAGTTGCATTAATGGATATAATACAATGTTGTACAAGCATTTCTTTCATGACAGTTTTAAATATGACAGTGTGCCATCAGGCCTGGAAGCTATAACATAGAACCATGGAATGCCCTACTTTCAGCATGTAAAGAGAATAAAACATTGTATATCCCTGCCCTAGTGTGAGTCGCCACTTTCAAATTAGTAACAATTATTCCAAAGACCTCCCCGGGTATTCAACTTAACTTGCTGCCAGTGTTAGGTAACATAGTAAGGCATGTCATATCATTGTATCGGCTGATATGTAGCACGGACTTCCCAACAAGAAAGGTAGGGCACAGATGCAGTGAGCATGTTGTTGTGATGGTACACTGAGGGGTAAGAGCTATGTTAGGAGTTAAATAAGAGCAGGGGCCTATCTCTCTCATATAATATTAAACAGGTACTTAGATGGATCAATTGTTTAAATGTTCATTATAAATCTAGCCTAACCTATGTTTCACATCTTGACCGTCACAATCACATAGCATGTTACACAGTGGAGTCAGTTTGACAATGCAGAATAGTCTGTTAATAACACGATGACATAGAAAACGCATATTCTGGGTTCAACAGACCATAGTGCACTTTAGACGAGTCTACGATGCCTAGTTAGAAGGCACGACACTAGATACAAGGGAAAGGTCGCACCTGTCATATTGCAATTTAACTTAACCTGTTTAAAAATACGTTTCCGTTAAACGACTTATAAAATAAAAAAATGAGGCATTCATACTCTGGAAATGTAAATAGTACTGTTATCGCTGTATTAACCCTCTTGTGTGAAATACCTTTGCATTTCCCCTTTCTTTTATTCTGTACCCTTCATCTATGTCTGAATAAAAGAAAGAATAAAAAAATTAAAAAAATAAGGGCAGGGGCCATACCGCGATATATGCAGTCACGTTTTATATGCTCAGTGACCTGTGAGGTTTGTGCTCATCGGGATGAACCCAGCTATGTTATAGGTTGACCTGTCTTTTAACACTGTCATTGGGTAACAGCATCACGGAGTGGAGTCATAACTTTAAATGGTTGTTTTCTAATTTTGTACATGTATAGGTTTATAGTGTTGAACGGGGCACGACATGGCAATAGGTCATGTCAGCCTATTTACATTCCATGTGTAGATTCGAGCACCCTACCTCCAGATTTTTAAACTTTATCAGCTGCCACTGCCTATGGTAGAGTCTTTATCTTGCTCTGTAGGACACTATTAAAGCTACTGTGTTAGCTAGACCTAGCATTACAGTTATTTTTTTTTTAGTTAGCCACAGGTTTCAGTACCACAGACTAGAATGTGATGGGTTGTTAATTGAAAAGTACAAGTTATTTTAATTTGATGAAGATACTAATTACCCAGCATGCACACAAGATGGATCAATATTTTGTAAACAAACTAGGACAAACTCATATGTAACTTTTACAGTTGCATTTTGCTTATTGTATGCAGTTGTGGGAGTGTGTGAGTGGACGACTGAGAACTACAAAGCTGTTTGAAAATAAGCCAAAGCTTTTGGTAGTAAATAGACGGTGTTTAACCCCTTAAAAAAGTCACTTTCACTGACAATATCATCGCTGTGATATGTTTTACGGTTTTGAATGACTAATATTTGTGTTCAGCCAAGTCTCCCGAGTAAAACAGTACCCCCCATGTACAGGTTTTAGGGTGTCATAGAAAGTTACAGGGTAAAATATAGTGCTAGCAAATTAAATTCTCTGGACTTTCGACCTGGGTTGGCAGGCAGGTCCCTCAAATTGCAATCAATAAAATTACTTAATTATGTAAAAATATTACATAAATACGCACGTAGAATTTAAATATATATGCATATTTATATATTTGAAGTCTACGTGTATATTTATATAATTATTTATGTAATTTTGTATATGGACATATGTATATTTTGTATTATTTTTATTTATCTATACATAGATATATATACAATTTCATTCTAAGTGTATTTTGATATAAATATATATATATATATATATATTACTATCAAAATACAGTTAGAATACAATTTCATATAGATATATATTTTTAATTTTTATTATTTTTACATGTTTTTATTTAATTGAAATTACTTATTTGTATTTTATAATAATATTTATATACAATATATATAGTTATTATATATATTATATATATACACCTGTGTAATTTAATTATAAGTGTATTATTATATTAATATATGTACATATTAATATAAAAATACACTTAGTATGACATTATATATATGTCTATATATATCATAATTATATACATATATTATATATATATAATATATGTCTATATATCATATTTATATACACATATATAATTATAATTTTTTATTAACATTAACAGTTATTTTTTTTAATGATTTTACACATGCAGGGAGACTGCATGTGAGCACAGACAGTCCCCCTGCAGGCAGACACATGGACACGTAGCATTATGAAACATAAAAATGTTAATACTTCTTATAGAGAAGCAATGGATTAGATTCTTCTCTATGAAAGCATTGACATTGGTGAAGAGTAGCAACTGCTACTCATGCGCAGTCTCCTCACAATGGGAGCAACACCGATCGCCGCCGGGGGAACGACGGCGATCGGGTAAGTACATTGGACCGTTCGGCAAGGCAAAAATGCTGATAACGGTCCTGAACCGTCCTCAGTCCTGAAGGGGTTAAACTTTATGAATTAGTACTGTTGAAAGAACACTTTTACTTTAAGGTTAGAAATAAATATATATTTAACATCAGTGTTTTCCTTTATACTCTTAGATTCAGTGTCCCTCACCGCCAGTTTATAATTAATGGACAGACTCCTCTCTGCAGCGGCTCCAACTTCTGTGAAGTCATTAGGATTGATGACTTCAAGATTGAGACCCTACTGCGCATGAGTAGCAGTTGCTACTCTTCACCAATGTCAATGCTTTCATAGAGAAGCATCTAATCCATTGCTTCTCTATAAGAAGTATTAACATTTTTATATTTCATCATGCTGGTTGAAATTACGAAAAATGTATAAGTCTTCAATTTTAAGGTTATACAGAGGAAGCTAGAAGATGTGTATCTTGTAAATAACTATCTATGTTATTGTTTCAATTGGTTTGACTTATTCACTCCCCACCCCAAAAATATAAATTGCCAAAATGTAAAGTGAGGCTGAAATCAGGCCCTGACTAATAAACATATAGCCAACTGGTAACAATGAACTGCGCAGAGACAAATAATGCATCAGAACTGCAATAGCAAAAACGTTACCTACAGGAATCTATTGACATATGATAAGTCATATCTGATAAAATGTTTACCAAGGCACCAGAGTTAGGAAAAAATTGCCGACCCAGTGTAGCCATCTTTTTTGCCTTAATTTGAAGGTCAATTGAGAATAGATACCAAGGTCCATAAAGTAAGATTTGCCGCTGTTAAACTTCAAATCCACTGATTCTTTACCAGATTAGAACTGTGGAGGGAAGGTTATTAAAAAAAATATTGGAATTATGTTTTCTATACATCTTTGTTCTCTAACGACATATTTATGTTTTTTTGGGGGAAAAAAATTTAAAAATAAAGTGCATAAGCCTTTATATAGTACAACAATGAAAACATGTTTAAAGGTTTAATTTGAGCTCAGAAACATATTTTTAAAAACAGAATACACTAGACATACAACAGTCTGGCATATCACAGATTTAATTTGCATATAAACAATTATTGTATGCTTTTTTATTTCTAAGTATTTCTAAGTAGCTAATATTCTTTTATCTTCTCACTATTTAAAAGTTCAGAAAAAAATAAGGTTTAGGATGCAGCCTATTAATGAACAGGATTCCAGAATATTTTTAAAATTCATCTTATTTAATGGTATATAGGTTATTCCTATAATTGGTCCCTATAATAATATCCTAATTTTGACATTAAAAAAACTAAATTGTTTTGTATAAACAGCAAAGCTATACAAGGGAGGTCTTTCAAGAAAAGCTAAATTATACTTTATTCTTATGCGCGAACATGCCTTCTTTTCCACATAATTTTTACTAGTGATAATTGCAAAGATGATCAGTGGATGACCTATAATTACCCCTCTCCAACCCATTCAATTACTGACATTGCTTTTCAATAATTAATTATTAGGAAAATTTCAGATTTGCAGATGCATAACCTTACATTTATCAGAGTAAATTTCCACAAACACTTACCTGGCTATTCATGTGGCTTCATGTAATGCTGGTTTCTCTTTGCAAGTGAAGTTTTTTTTTTTTGTTGCAGCCATTCTTGTTGATGTTCTGAATGGATACTATTTTATGACAGCAGGACAATTTAGACTACAAGGACTCTTTCCTACAACTATTAGTATATTTTCATTCACATTCCCTGTTCATCCTGTTTTGATTGATTGATTTGCACATACATACAAAACTACTAATCTTTTATAAACAACATAAATATACATTCACTTATTTAAGGGGTGGCTTTGGTGTTTGGTGTTTGAATTGGAATTTGACAGTAAGGGATATACATAAAGAATAATTCTTGGTCAATATCCAGCAGGAATAGTTTCTTGGTTTCCACGGCAACTGCTCCATTTGCTCAGAACACCACTGCTGCACTATGGGATTGAGATTGACATGACATTTGGTGCATTGCAGAATGGTACCAAGCCATGTCCTGCTTTCAGAGTAAGAAGGCACTTTTATTGTTTTATCAGTGGCATTACTGCAACTGCATGAAGTAAATTAAGATAGTTCCACGTCCTGAAACACACTCACACACACATTATCAATCAAGCTGGCACAGATAAATAAAATCAGAAACACACAAATGGACACCATTTTGTTTTGGCCCCTGGCCCAAATAACTTTATATATTAGCCTGACATATCCACATTACAAAAGGGAAGTCTGACAGACTCATCCTCAATATGTTATCCCTTTCCCAGTCAGTGGGTATTGATCTCAGCTCCCTCTGCCAGAGAAAATGTTAAATCAGGGGTACTGTAAATATATAGTTAGATTTTCACCTTATTATAAGGTACATAGAAATCTTTCTGGGAATATAAACAGCCACAAAATATATAAGACATCTGCTTTCACTTTTATACAACTTTGTACAAAAAAAAAAAAAATAAGCGTGTATTAAAACAATCGCCATTTTGGAAAATATCTTCACAAAAGCAGCAGGTTCTTCTCACATATCTTTCTCACCTGAATATTAATACGCCATTGGCATTTTTAAAGAGTGCCAGTATGACTATGAAGTACCTTGGGTCCTTGCGTACTATATAAGGGTGCTTAGCAGCATTATACAGCACAACAAATGTAATGTACAGAGATTGGCAGTACCATTATACATTATGATATATTGCGGTCCAATTATGGGCACAATTGGGAGTTTGTTCACAAGATAGTAAACTGTGGTCAAATTACAAAGACCTTACAGCACTGGTTCCCAAACCAGTCCTCATCCTTCACCAACAACCCAGGATTTATGTTTTACCCTGTTCTATTCCAATGGAAATACTGACAAAACCTGGACTGTTGGTGGGTCTTGAAGACTGGTTTGGGAAACACTGCCTTACAGAATTTAAGACATAATAGCAGAGCTGATATTGGGTTTCCCGCCAAACGTGCTATTTTGGCCTATATCTTATTAATCAGTTTCCAACTCACTGTTTTGTGAATGTACATCATAAAAATATGCAGACAGTCAGCATCATTATACAGTGTAGCTTTACAACAGCATATGAAAATACTCATAATTATACAGTGCAGCATTATCCATTATAATCAGGATACTCGGAATCAGTATACATTGCACATGATCCACCTTCACTAGAGCTGGACAAATTAATGTTGAATTTAGTAGACAGAAAGGCATATGAGTCAACTTGATTTTTTTTTTTTTTTTAGCCAAGAGGAGAAAAATACAGATCAACATAAATAGCATATGTAGGAATCATATTTAGCTGGTTCCTTGAATTTGTCTAGCTCTGATTACATAGCAAGCTTAACAAAAGCATTCATGGAAGTACATCTCCCATGATGCTTCATTGGGACTGTCGTTCTACAACAGCCAAAGGGCTAATTGTTGGCTATACCTGTTGAAATATGCAACATTTTCATGTATACAAATTAGTATTTGAAATAAGGTGCAATGTATAGAGACACAATAGTATACCGTGACATGCCAATTCTTTGTACAGAAAGATAATTGTGAATTTACACAGCAATACGTTCTCTACAGAAAGATACTAATTATTACTGTGTACCACAGCATGTGCTTATGTCAGTGTGTAAAGGATCTTAGGACTGTAATACCATGCAGGACGCTCATTCTCTAGTTATAAAGATACAGGTACAGTTATTGATACACACTTCAGCATATGCCCAGTCTCAGTATGAAAAGGAACTATGTATTGCTACAGACAGCAGCATACACCCATTTTATGTGTACAGAGATATTCTGACAGGATTATTCACTTAACTGGGAACGGTGTAGGACTAACAAGGGAACTGTGAATGGTAGGCGATCGTAGACAATCTGCAGCAATAACAATGTAATTCTCTTGGTAGTTTTCTACAATTTCCAGTTTGATGAATAATTCCAACAGGATTAGGTAGGAAACAGAATTTTCAAGAACTGACAAGAAAAAAATAAAATACATTTTAATTCCCTGGAAAATTCCCAGTTTAGTTTAAATAACCCTGTCAGAACAATTATACAATGTAGCCAGTCCCTGATATATAAATATATAATCAAAATATAGTGCAACGTGCATTATGAGTGTTTAGTGACACTCTGTGTCCTTACACACCGCAACTTAATCACCAACATACAAAGTTAGGAAGTATAATCATATCACTGCAGGCTAGGGGACATTGAAATGCTGAATGCCCCTTGCACAGCACACCCCTTCTTGGGTCAGCAGTCACTTCATAGACTGTTCCAGGCAGACATAGATATAGGAACTGTACATTGATATTAACCCCTTCACTGCCAGTGCAAGATGTACACATTGTTAACACTGAAAAGTACAAACAAACAAAAAAGTCTATGTTGCAGCTAGCATACAAAGCAGTGTATACATAAAGTGCAGCGCACAGAGAATACTTATGAAGTGCTTTCAGGACCTGTTGGCTTGGAAAGCAGGTTATTTTGATAGGAAGTGCAGTGCATGTTTCTAGAAAGTGCAGTCAATGCTAACAGTAAGTGCATGTCAGGGGGAGCAGACTATGTAGCGATACAGTGATATTTATGTCGCTTGAAAGACATAATGTGTTTACTGGAATTGCAAATGCAGTGTATAAATACGAGGTTAATGAAAGGCGCAGTGTAAGCAGTGATGATGTTAGGGCTGTTAGAAGTGGAAAATTATAAATTAAAAGGGCAGCTTATGCAGGAACAACACAAAATCCTCATATTAATGTTATATTTAGGTAGGAATTATACACGCACTGTAAACCTCAGTTCTGTTCTATATGAAGTGCAACGCTTATGGCGACATTAAACAGTGTTAAAGCTACTTTTCAGTCTGGCAGTAGAGGGGTTAAAACAGATTTTTATTTATTATTTTATTTTTTTGTTGTTGCAATTTTCTATTTTAACTTAGCAGCAAAAAGATTTATTTAAGAAAAATAAAACCAAGAGTTCATTTTTAGTCCTGACTGTCATGCAAAACATGCAAGAGTGAGATGGGGGAGGTGGGGAAGATCACCCCGAAACTTGCCCCCACCCCCTCATCTCAAACTGACAAACACATGTCATTTTGTAAAAAGAAAGGCAGTAGCACAGGCAGCAATATCAGAGAAGAGGGGAGGAGAGGAAATGACAGGGAGAGGTGTGGAGAGAGACAGAAGTATGAGATGAAAAAAAAACCTAGATTGACAGGGAGAGAATAGAGTGGAGGATAAAGAATGGTTATGGAGAAAGCTTGCTCTCATTATCTGGAGCAGGGAGGAAAAAATAAAAGAACAAATGACATAGAATGCTTCAAACAAAACACTGGTGATAGTAAGCATACACGGGGATGTTAGGACTGAATTTGCCTTTAGACAAAGTAGGCAACTGCCTACAGGCGACTGTCTGATAAGGGCATTACAAATTAATCTTTTACATTTAATGCAATTGACTGAACTTGGAGCTGTAGAACAGCTTACCTAGGAACCGTGGTGGGAGAGGAGGTATGGCATCCCCAATAATGTCCAACTCCCTTATAGTGCCCATTATTTACATTGTGAGCTCATTTGGTCATGGCCCTCTTCATCTACTGTTCCTGTATGTAATACATGTTTTGTTAGAATTTGTTTTTAGAAATATGTTGGGTTTTTAGGTAGCAATTAGATGGGTGCAACTGGCACATACAGAGATCTCACTAATTAAAGCACAGTATATTGTTGAGCAGTGGTTGAGGAGCGTCTGAGCATCATGTGCCTATAGGATCAGGAACATGTAATGTGTGCAGAAGTCAATGCATGAGAAAAGAGTGTAGTGAGAGTATTGAAGAGCTGGGCAAGATTTGCTCCAAGGCATTAATAAGAGAACTATTCATTAAAGTGTACCTTATTTGGTATTCAACCTGAATTTGTAATTTAAGGCCCAAATAGCCGAACTGAACATATAATTAAATGTCTAAAATATAACTGATTCAGAGAAGTTTTCAAAATAATCTAAATTCACCGAGTAGAGGAATGTATTGGTCCACTAGATGTACCAGTTTATTAATATTATTTATTTATTAATAAAATGCTTGGATTCAAAGCACATCTATAAATTGGATAAGCTCAATACTAAATGTAATCTTCCTGGTTCAATTAATGAATATAATAAAAAAAAAAAAAAAAATTAAGTTACATTTCCTATTGGAGAAACCAAGCCCTTTGTATGTGAGTAGGAAAGGATGACAACTGGGGATACAGGTGCAGATATTGACAATTAATTAAGATGGAAAGAAGAGCGAAAGGAAGAACAGAAATGGGATGATAACAATTTACCTAACTTTTACATGGCCTTGTAACAGGAAAAGTGGCACTGTATTCATGGCCAGAGGGAAGCACCCAGGAATCCGTACTCAAATATGGTGGCACAAACAGCAGCAAATTGGAACACCTCAATACAACAAATCTTTCTAGCCAGGAGGTGGGACAATTTACACTGCACACCTCTTGCAATCGGAGAGTTACGTTTTTTGGGACACAATCTTACACAAAGCACTAGTTGCTCTCTGACTATGGCTATACAGGCGGTGACATAAGTATACAGGCGGTGACATCACTGCCCACCTGTTATATTAATGATGGACTATTGCCAAACACTATATTAATTAATAAGCCAGTTTAATTATTATGGCGTATAGACTCCCTGGTAGTTATTAGCCACTAGTTTTCCATGACAATACATAGCACCCAAACTCTATCCATATCAGCCCCTTTACTCTGCAGATTATTCTTTTGCAGATCCATGCAACATAACTCTGGGCCTCAATACTAACACACTTATAGTCAGGCATGATCTTCTTATATTGCTACATCTATGTATGTATATGTATATAAATGTATCTTCATATGACTGTATGAGTATATTATATCGTTTGTTTTTACGAGTAATATATACGGTACATACATCTATAGAGAGCTATAGCTGTGAATGCGCTATATATATATTTATATATACACTTATATATATACATATATATATATAACAAATGCGCAGTTTGTTTCAAGCTGTAGCTGTTTTTTTTCCTCTAATAAAATTGTGTGACAGACGTTGAAAAGAAAAGCAGGGGGGTGCATGAACCAGAGAGAGACAGAAGAAGGAGGGGGAAATGTAGAGGCAAGAGTAAGGGATTGATGAGGAGAAAGGGAAAAAAAGAGAGAGAGAAGAGAGAAGGAAAAAGTGAGAAATGAAGGTAGCAAAAGAGAGAGCAAGAATGTATGAAATGAAAGAAAGGAGTAAATAAGCAATAGAGAATAAATTATAGACAGAACATTATAGGCAGAATGGTGGAAACTAGTGATAGAATGAACAATGAAGACAGAATAACGAGAGATTGAAGCAGAACTATGGTGCAAGTAATTGTGCCAAAATAATGGGGACTTTTTGAGGAGAAACGATAATAACGGACAACGTGAATTCACAATGATAGAGGAAGCCATTTTGACAGAATGATAGATGGAACCGCTGGTTTGAACATAGAGGTAAATATCAGAATGAATATAGGTGAGATTAAAGAAGAAAGAAAAGGTAGGAAGATATTTTGGAAGAGAAGAAAGGGTCAGCAGGCACACTGGGTTGTAATGTTTGGAAACAGCAGCAGATTATGTTAACCAAGCAGCAATTTATGGACCCCAGGACTTTCCATTTACAGTTACCATTACATCGTCAAACTCTTGACACTCCAGGTCTCTCTAAATGTTTAGAGTAGGCAGACACATGGAGTGAGGCTCTGCAGGCTAAAGGGTATGCTGCGGAGGTAGGAAACCAGAGTTGCTCAAGATATGATAGCTGAAGCATCACTCAGCAAGTAAAGCATCAGGAGAAAAAGGTGGTGACATTCTTCTCAGGTTGGAAAAAAACATGGAGGGTGAAGCAGTGGCCAGTTGGTGCAACGTCTTGACATGTGCACATTTTAGTAATGCTCAGTAAGTACAGTTAACAAGCGTATGGATCAAATACTAGTTTACATTTACTAGTTGATGAACCCAGAGATGCTCTCCAGATTACTCTTAGGGAAGAAGTTATGAATGTAATGCATTACAGAACTACCAGAAAAGCCACAAAATCTGGAAATATCTGGCAGGAAATAGGTGCAAACAGTGATGACATGCAGAGCAGCATTTCACAGAGTCCTCCATTCCTTTAAAAAAAGTAGGGTCTTCATGCGCAAGAGGTAACTGCAGGAGTCCCAGCCACTGAAGGAGAGCAAGCTGCTTTGTCCCCTCCCTTCTTGTCCTTCTGTTTAAGGTGGATCTTGGCATGCCGCTTCCTTTCGTCACTTCGTGCAAACTTACGTCCACAGAAGTCACAGGCAAAGGGCTTCTCTCCTGTGTGGGTGCGGATATGGGTAGTAAGATGGTCAGAACGGCTGAAGCTCCTCATACAAATACGGCATTGGAAGGGTTTGTGCCCTGTGTGGATGCGCAGATGTCGTGTCAGCTCATCGGAACGTGAGAAACGTCGGTCACAGCCCTCAGCAGGGCATGCATGGGGTCGCTCATGTAGAGGGGTCTTGCTAGGGCGGTTCGGGTATTTTCTAGGCCTTATTGGTTTGAGTGGGAGGGGAGCCTGGTGACTCATTCCTCCAAAGCTTGGTAAGACCTGCTTCTCTTTAAATGCTTTGATGGTCTCCAATGGGGTTATAGGTGGTGGATTAACCCGCATGGCCTCCATATTTTGAAAAGGCTTCTGGTCCACGGTGGGCATCTCTGTATTATGATGGAAAAGATTGTAGTCTGGTATCATTGGAAAGACACTAGAGTCCAGACCCTGCTTGGCAGATTGGTAGTCTTGGGAAGTGTAGGGGGCCATACCTCCACCTTGGAAGCCAACCTGATCATGATACAGGTCTCCACAACTGGCATAGGGTGGTAAGCCATGAAACATAGATTCTACTTCACTCTGAGACTGTCCCATGATACCACCACCTCCACCACTACCATTTCCCCCTCCTCCACTGGGCGCTTGAGATGTTGGCACACCAAGGATGCCAGCGCTCATTAGGCTGATGATGTTCTCCTGGCACCAGTTAGAAGGAGAGTCAAAGGAGAATTTGCCCAGATAGGTGACTGTCTTGTTGCCCGGCTGAAAGGTGCCTGTATAGGAAATGTCCTGTGAATTTTTCTCGTTAGGCAAGCCTAAATCCATAACATTATCTGAAGGGGACAGAAAGAAACAATGAGGCACTGAAAATAATACACTGGCCATATTTTACGAGCACAATTAGTAGTTCTTGAAAGATTTCAACATGTCAGACTCCATGGGGTTTTGCATTTAGAGAGCACTAAAGATGCAGTGAGGGGCTGAAAGATAGCAGGGGTGAACATAAGTATATAAGGCAAGATAAGATATTGGATATACCCATCATGCGATACAGGGTTGACATTCTCATTAAATATTTAGACATAATCATACAGAGCTCCTTTCTCATTGACAGTTTACAAAATATGTATAATTGGTATCAAACCATGATTAACTGCTTACTGAAATACTCTTTAAGTTAAGTAGCTCAACTTGTTTATTAACATTCTGCACAGCTATCGGTAGCCATTTTTTAGCTGTCATCTTTTTACGGAACCTCATGGTGTTGAAGAGAAACTTGCGAGATTCTTTGTGCAGCTCGAGCCAGCAAGCAGAGGGTTACTGCAATATTATTCATGCACTTTAATGTATCTCCATAGCACCAAGAGTCAGAAAAAAAAACTGCAGCTTATACAGGATGTTCTAGAGATAGTGCCAGCAGAAACCTTTGTGTTAGACGAAGAACAAGGCACCACAGAGTTGTGTTACTTCTGCTACAACCCTGCAGGACACACTTTTGGGGGAGTCTCGATATTGCAGAACGTCCATACTGCCAAGAACTAGCCTCAACAAATAGTGCCATTTCTAGCTTCCAAACAGGCATTTGTGTGCATTCTGCACATAAAAAAAAGAAAGCTTTGTACATTGTATATAGTGAATTAATAATATTGGTCAGTTGATGTCCACAGATGCTTAAATATGTGTGTCTAATGACAAAGTTATTCACTAACATGAGAATTATCTTGGATTCAAAGTGAAATTAAAGTGCATTTCTAATTTAATGCCAAAGTAGCCAAACTGCGAATATTTTCATTTCAGCTATTTTAGTCTTATATGTGACATTTGCCTTGAACTCACTTTGAATTTCTGACAATTCTTAACTTCAGTACACAACCCTATGAGTGTGTGTTGATATTTTGAATTATAGGCAGTTTACTTTGAGTAAAAAAAAAAAAATGCAACCGTGGCCCAATGCCTGATCCAGTGAGTGCATGCAATGTATTTTACAGTATCTCATACGAAGAACTCATGGTCCAATTTCTGATCCAGTGAATGCATGCAGATTAGTTTGGGTGCAATTAAATGTGATCAGGGCTCAATTTATGATCTAGTTAGTGCATGCAGTGTGTTTTACAATGCAATACAAAGTACCAAAAACTGCTTTCTGATCTGATCAGTGCATGCCTTGTATTTGTACAAGAGTCCCATCTGTTATACCATTCACATTACCTGACTGCTAAATAAAATGTACCTTATTGCTTTTTATCGGAGTCACTGAAGCAATGCAGTTTCTATTTGATTAAGTGGGGCAGCGCAGTGTGCACTCTATAGTGTATTTTATAGTTTGCCCCCAAATCAGTGGCAAGGCACATCATATTCATCAGACAACTGCCCAAAACAAATTTTTTTACTGTAGCCTTCCTTAATTCAGTGGAGATCAGTCTGACAGTGTGAAGAGTGTAATGAAGGAATTTTACACTATATTGTTAGAACTGACAAAAAGGTCACTGGGATAATTGTAAAATTGATGGGTCATCATTAATATCATGTAAATAAATTTGGTTCTGTGGAAAAAAGGGTAGGAATCAGTTTTAGTACCCGACCCAGTGATGCCATGCAGTATATTGCACAGCACAAAAGAAAAAGAACAAATAATAACACTTTTGGAATTGTTTTACCTTGGTAAGTGGCAAGGATGCAAGCAACTCAGGTATTTTGCTGGACATTAATAACCTTCTACTTACTATCTGACCTGACACAGGCATGGCTCAGTATCAGAGTAAAGGCATGCAGTGAGTGATGTACCTCTCAGGGCTATGTACCAGATTCAGGAAATGAATTCACTACACAATGAAATATGCCAAGGGCTTCACAGGTGGATAATCTACTGATTCTTCCCATTGCTCTCTTCTCTTTCCTATCACACCACGTTTGTTGAAATTCTAAGGTCCAACATATAAAGAAATAGTATTTTTAAATTGGACCTTAGAATTTTCAACAAACTTATTGGTCATATACTATATTTTGTGTATGTATGTGATACTTTGATTTGAAAATTCCAATAACAATTACATAGCAACAATGCCCAGCTGATATAAGTTGTCCAATAGGACCATTTATTTCTCTTCGAAACGAAAGTTAAAAAGGCAGAAAACATCTCACTGTTGACATCATCACTAACTGACACAGACTGGAATATAGAATTGCTATAGAAAATCCAAAAAAACACGGGTCACTGTCAGGATTATTCATTATAATAAGCAGTATTTTGGGTGCTATGCAATGAGTAACAGGTCACTTTCTGTGAAGAGGTTAACTTTGGAATTTCCCCCTCCACAATACACCTACTCATCCTACCTATCCTATGAGCTGTCACCAGCTGCCCCCACTTGTCACCTCCCAGCTCAGTCGCCTGCCTCCCCCACACAAAGGGCTGGGAGCTCCCCCACCCCCGCAACAATATTTAAAGACTTTCTTCCCCCACATTGTGACGCTGTAAATGTCTGAAGAAGGGAACTAAGCAGCTTTAACTGCAATGAAGTGCCTTGTGATGGGTTACCCTAAAATTAACCATCAATAGCAGAGCAACAGGCACCCAGGTGCAGTGTCATTGTCACACAGCGTACTTCCATAGAGGTTACTGCACACAGACAGTGTAATAAGGCACACGCTGGGATGTGAGAAGCAAAGCACATAGCACAGTAACGGTGCAACTCATTGCTGGAGTGTGAATAGAACTCTAGAGACCCATACGTTCTACATTACTCATGTAACTTATCCTCTTTATCTCCACGGAATCACAAACACAACCAGATGATTTTAACTCGCTCAGCAATGGCATGACGTGCAGTGACATCACAGCACCTAGATATGCAACAGTTAGCTAACCTGTCCGCAGAGTAACGTTCACCTGGACAGCAATAGAACACACAGCCACACAATGCAACATGGGCAAGTACACCAGTGCAGCAATATAATATGCAGAGCCATGCAAAAAAAGAGAGCCAGCTATATAATGCCTGGGCAACGAAGCCTTGGAAGCATTATAACTTACAGAGCCATGCAAAACACTGTGCACCACCACTGGCCTAGCTATGGAAGTATACAAAGTCAGGCAACTCCATCAGACCACATAGCCATGCTATTCAACACCACCAGCACAACAATGTTACATACAGGGCCATGCTACAACATCACCAGGACAGCAATATAATGTACAGTGGATAATAGTACAGGGTAATCCTACCAGCACAGCAATATAACATACACAACAATGCAATACAATCCAGGCATATCCCATCTAGTACATTATTATAGCAATAAAGCCAGGTCATATGCACCAGCACCACAATACCATCTAGAGACAAGTAATAAACAAGTGGACAAGATGTAAAGCATTAGAACAAATACCCATTGAAATTTAAAAATGCAAATTAATATAGTTATGGAGAGCATTTTATTATCATCCAGTAAAATGAACACCTTATTATAGTAATGCAGAGCATTTAAATACACAGAACATGCAGAGCAACATAACTGCCCAAATAAAACAGGGAGAGCAGGTACTGTAGCACAATGCATAGCAGTATAGCAGTGAAATAATGCATATAGTATCGCAGTGAAATAAACGTACGAAGAAATAGAACATGCAGAGCAGTATAATAACAGTCCATCGAACACTGAGGGAAAATATATCCACCGACAGAAATGAAACACGTAGAACACTACAGTGTAGTATATGTATATAAATGTAACAGAGAGTTGCTGTATATTGGACTAACAATACACATTAAAAGATAAGCATAAATATAAAAACACACTCAGCCTCCCCCCATGATGGATAGACAGACTGACTAATGCCCTGTTAATACCCATACATAAGACGATATTGATATAGAATACAATAAAGAGCTAACTGGTGCTAAGCTTTGGACCAAATGATGAATAGCAAAGCAGCGCATGGCAGAGCATTATACTGTGCAGAGCTATGTAGAGAATGTAGTCATGTCTCCCCATCCCTAGAGATCCATTCCTCCTCCACACCTTTACAAACTAGCTCACACCTAGCGCCCCCACCCACCTTCCTGAAAGGTCCCCAACTCATCCACACTGGCCAAAGCATGATCCCAAACAGAGCACCGTGCTCCACAGCTACATCACACACCGCATGCCCCACCAGCTAGCCCACCATCTGTCACTCATTTTCCACTAGAGGATTTTTCTCACCCACCTGCAGACATAGAGGAGAAGTGCTGATCGTTGCCCCCGGTGGAATAAATGGACAAGGGTCCAGGTAGGTCCTGCCCCTCCTCGGGGTAGAGGGGGTCTGGAAGAAGCGAGGTCATGTTTACTGGGAGTTTATCCAACAGCTTTCCGGTCATAGCACAGTCCAGGGGGGAATAGGAGCAATGTGGGGGGTCCAGCCACCCTCCTACACCTTCCACGGATGGGGCTGGACAGCAGGTAGGTGGGCAGGCTATGATCTTGGTGCCCGAGCCTGCCCCGGGGATGCTGAGAGTGCTGCCCGGAGGGAGGAATGACTAGCTGTGTCCCATGGCGGGGGTCAGACCTACCTACCCCTGTATGGGCACTGCTCTCACATCTGCCCCGGGGATGGCATGTCCAGAGTGAGAACGGAGAGGGAACGAATGGAGGGACAGCTACATCTACCGCTGGCCAGGTGAGAAGAGGGGAATAATAACAAATAATGGGCAGAAATAATAATACAATGCATGGACGGCCAGCTCGGACTGCTAATGTGGGGTTACCCAAGGTGTGCTCGCATAGTGACTGGCCAGGTGGGTACAGGTACCCGGGGTGTATGGGTATTGGGTAAGGTGATGCTCTGTACCCCGGGGTGCAGACAAGGGGTTATCGGTTCTCTCCGCTCTCTGGATTGCTATGTCTCGGGACTCCGGCTCCTTTTATACCCGCCCGGGGAAGCTCCAGTGACGTAACTGCCCATATATGGACACACACAAGCCCGTGATGTCACAATGGAACCTCCTTACAATGGAACATTGTGAAGAAAGCAGGAAGCTGCTGGGCAACCTGGGACCCCCTATATTATGATCGCAGAAGGGCTAAATAAAGAGATATATAACTTGGACATCTCTTGCTTCCACTGAACACGTTCACTAACATAGAAACTAACTTCAATAGACAGGAGGAAACGGCAGGAATGGATTGGTCTGAGGAGATGAGGCTAGCTGAGAGATTGAGAGAGGTAAGGATCTGAGGGCATTTGTAGTACTCTAGAGCAGGGGTACCGCGTCTGTGAGCAAGGCAGGAGTAATACACGCCTAGAATAGTTGTCAAAAAGTGGTGATTGAGATAAATCTTTCTAATCAGAGTATGAAAACCCTATGAGATTTTTGTAGGACCCTAGGATGGAGGAGAAGGGGTGGTGTTTGGTAAAACTACGCCTGAAGTATACCTGGATTTGAAAGTGCATGCTGGCTAAAGATGTCACTTTGGTTTGTAAAGAGAGAGAAAAAAGGCAACACGCATTCCTTATTTCAATGGTAAGAATAACATTTTATTCAAATCTATTTACTGCGTTCTCTGATACCAGATTATATATATAAAAAAGGAAGTAAATGGTCAGATGAATGCTTCAGATTTTCCTATCTATACATGCCAAAATTAATTTCCGCGATGTGTATATTGATACATGGTATCTTCATACAGGTGTACATTGCCATAGCAATGTTCTAAACAACCTCATCACTGCTTTATTCATTTAAAAAAAAAACATTTCAAGCATGATTAATCCCCCAAAATGTATTATTTGTACTAATCCCACTTTATCAACATAGAACAAAATACTAATCTTAGCTCAGCAATGAAGAATGCTGGCTGCACTAATAATACTGGAATATCAATAATTGATATGTACTAATACTAGATAACAGTTTATATAGCTGTTTAGAATATGGGTCATAGGAGATAGGGGTACTCTTATTAGTCACCTATATACTTGATGAAAACTATGAATCCTTCCTAAACATAAATTAGCAAAAAGAGTAAAAAAACAAGAACCAATGTAACCTTCAAAAAAATAAACTTGACTGATCTAACCAGATCCCTGTATTTGGCAGTATGCCTAAAATAATACTACAAAATAAAAACAACTCACTATTTCTAGGGTTAGAATAATAGAGTGAGGCTAAATTAGCTCATAACCCTAATTTTAAACCTTACCTTATGCCTAAATGTCCTCTTATCTGCCCTCCACTATTTCTTTTATTTCTTAGTTAGAATAATAATTGAGTGAGGCTAACTGTTAAACTGTTTTATTATTATTATTATTATTGCCATTTATATAGCGCCAACAGATTCCGTAGCGCTTTACAATATAAAGCGGTTACATTCGAAAGAAGAATAGCATTAGGAGCTAATTGAGCCTCACTCAATTATTATTGTAACCCTAACCTTAGAAATAGTACAAATAGTAGAGGGCAGATCACAGGAATAGAGAAAATTTATGACAAACTTACCGCAATTTTCTTTTCCTGGCTATTTCTCATGGCAGCATCACTTATGGGTAGCTCCTCCCTTAGCAGTCACAGGACAGGAATTAATAAGATTAATAAGATTAATTAGACTAAGTATAAAGAGTCCCTCCTCCCCTTACACCACCGTCCAATTCTAAAGCTGAAAAATAAAAGAATGGGCGGGAACCCTGATGCTGTCATGAGAAATAGCCAGGAAAAGAAAATTACAGTAAGTTTGTTATAAATTTTCACTATTGCTGGCTAATCATGGCAGCATCACCTATGGGTAATACTGAAGCTCACGGAAATATAGGGTGGGAATAAAGAAACGGAGAAAAAAACACTATTCAGACACTCTTGCCGCAAAGTCATTTAATATCAGTGGGATAAAGAAACCGTAGATAGATCAACCGCAGACAGGTGGAAGAAGAGGTCACGTCCAGTTTGTAGTGTTTTATGAACGTCATCAGGGAAGACCAAGTGGCTGCTCTGCAAATATCAACGTTTGGAACCTCTTCCCAGTTAGCCCATGAAGTCGACAATGCTCTGATAGAATGTGTTCTTATCTTTATTGGTTAGTCTTTCGGTGTGACGTAGACCGAAGAAGGTATCGAGACAGACAGTTCTTAAAGGAACACTATAGTCAACTAAATTACTTTAGCTAAATAAAGCAGTTTTAGTGTATAGATCATTCCCCTGCAATTTCACTACTCAATTCACTGTCATTTAGGAGTTAAATCATTTTGTTTCTGTTTATGCAGCCCTAGCCACACCTCCCCTGGCTATGATTGACAGAGCCTGCATGAAAAAAAAAACTGGTTTCACTTTCAAACAGATGTAATTTACCTTAAATAATTGTATCTCAATCTCTAAATTGAACTTTAATCACATACAGGAGGCTCTTACAGGGTCTAGCAAGCTATTAACATAGCAGGGGATAAGAAAATCTTAATTACGGTAACCAGAACTTGCAATAAAGAAAGCCTAAATAGGGCTCTCTTTACAGGAAGTGTTTATGGAAGGCTGTGCATGTCACATGCAGGGAGGTGTGACTAGGGTTCATAAACAAAGGGATTTAACTCCTAAATGGCAGAGGATTGAGCAGTGAGGCTACAGGGGCATGTTCTATACACCAAAACATGCTTTCAGAGAGGGAGAGCTTCTTAACAAATACAGCTTGAAAGCTTAGCTCTGCATCTATAGCATTACAATACTATAAGGCTATAATCTACCTTTATATATATTATATTAGACATAGGTTGATAGCAGATGGGCCCACTGACCTCCCGGAAGAATAACCCCAAAAATCTGCCCCTTGATTGAATTTTTAGCATATGCACTCATGTACAAATGTATCTGCTCTATAATTACTGCTACAAACCCACTCCAAACAGGCACCTCGAGGAGTACACGTCCCCAACCGTGGCATACTAAATCAACACGCTATCTGCAAAGTTGCTCCCATTGTGCTGAATGCTCCTGGAGGAAGTCTTGCACCAAGTCAGACTTTCTACATTATAGATTCATATTGTGTTCATACAGTGCAGCCCTTGCCCTCGCCAAACAGTCATACTTTTCCTCTCTCATTAGTTCATGCTCCCACAATCCCAGGCATCTCTTTGACACCTTTAACTCTCTTCTTTGCCCTGCTGTGACCACCCCCAAACTAACCTTACAGCCGATAGCTTTACATGCTACTTTACCGATAAGATTGAACAGCTAAGGAAAGAATTCTCCCCACCTTGCCGTTCTCTTTCTCAACCACACGGCTACTGAACACGAGGTGGCTGCGCTTCTCCTTTTCTCTCGGCCCACCACTTGTCCGCTCGATCCTGTCCCGTCTCACCTCATCAGATCTCTCTCCCCTTGTCTTGCGCCTTCCTTAACACACATCTTCAACTGCTCTCTCTCTTCTGGCGTTGTCCCTGCTGACCTTAAACATGCCACTGTAGTACCTATCTTGAAAAAAACATCTCTTGACCCGTCCTCCCACTAACTATCGTCCCATATCCCTGCTCCTTTTTTCCTTAAAGCTTCTGGAAAGACTTTTCAATTGTTTAAAAAGTGCATTAAAACCCATTTCTTTAGGAAAGCTTATGGCCTCCCAGAGTAACCTCCACCTTACATACCTGTTTCTTGCTCTCTCCTAAAGGGCAGAACTCTACTCTCTCCTCCAGCTCTGCTTCACTCCCACCTTATTTGATTGCTATTTCCTGTCCTAATGTGTTTTATACCCCACCTCCTATAGACTGTAAGCTTGTTTGAGCAAGGTCCTCTTCAACCTATTGTTCCTGTAAGTTTTCTTGTAAGTGTCCCTTTTATAGTTAAATCCCCCCTCTCATAATATTGTGAAGCGCTACGGAATCTGTTGGCGCTATATAAATGGAGATAATAATAATAATAATAATAATTACACCTATATTTTTGCTTAATGCTTCAATGACCACCCAGGTTTCCTTGAATAACATTTTCTATTTTTTTAGGTGAAGACTTATTTGTTTTGTCAAATTATCATGTCAAGTTATTTGTTTGTCAGCAACACAACTTGTTAGACATCTGGCAACTTCAGCATCCTTTGGCAAAAGACTATTTTTTTAATCCACATCAGTCTTATTCACGCATTGACCTCATTTTGTGACCCACGACTGTGTCCTTTTTGTATCAATATTAACAATCCATTCAATCACTCGGTCAGATCATGCAGATATTAGTTTATTAATTAAGTAATCTAACACAGACACTGGGCTTGAAAGCTTAATGACTTTTTAGTGTACAACTCAATTGTGCATATTGACAAGAAATTACTGAATATTTTGCTCTAAATAAAGGTTCAGTCTTTAATGCTCCCCCTTTTTGGGCCACACCTAAGACAGTTTCTGAAAAAGACTCAAAGCCATAGAAACACAACATACAGTTAAAGCTGCACAACCGCATCTTCTTCAAATTCAACTGAACTGAAACAAAAACATAAAAGTACATCCTCACCTATGTTGCTTCATGTACTTCTCAAGACTAGAGCAGACCCTTACTTTGCGAGATACAGCCAGAGCATTAAAACTCACTATACAATTCTACTATAAAAAAAAATCAAACACAGCTCACCATTCAGATTTCAGAGAAACCTCAATCACTTCCCTCCACACAGTTACTAGTACTACAGTAACTGAACCTATAAGAGTTATACAATAATTTATTAAAACCTTTTCAGCCTTTCTTCATCACTTCCCTCAGTCCTTAGTGAGTCTATTAATAACAATGAAATTCAAACATTTTTCCAAGCTGCTGACCTTCCAAATTTACTTATAGGGACACTATAGTCACCATAACAAGTTTAGCTTAATGAAACCGGTTTGGTGTATACATTATTACCCTGCAGTCTCACTGCTCAATTCTCTGCCATTTAGGAGTTAAATCCCTTTGTTGATGAACCCTAGTCACACCTCCCTGCATGTGACTTGCACAGCCTTCATAAACACTTCCTGTAAAGAGTCATCTAATGTTTATCCTTCATTTATTGCAAGTTCTGTTTAATTTAGATTTTCTTATCCCCTGCTATGTTAAAGCTTGCTAGACCGTGCAAGAGCCTTTTTTATGTGATTAAAGTTCAATTTACAGAGCAAGAGGTAAAATTGTAAAATTGTTTAAGGTAAATTACATCTAAATGAAAATGAAACCAGTTTTTTTTTTCATGCAGGCTGTGTCAATCAGAGCCAGGGGAGGTGTGGCAATGGCTGCATAAACAGAAACAAAGTGATTTAACCCCTAAATGGCAGTGAATTAAGCAGTGAAACCTGAGAGGCATAATCTATAAACTGCTTCATTAAGCTAAAGTTGTTTAGGTGACTATAGGGTCCCTTTAACACCACAAAGATTTCTTGGATCTTCCTATTCAGCTAGAGATATAGGAAATAGGGATGTGCATGGGCAAAAAATTTGGTTTGGTTCAGAAAGTAAAAAAATTTGCACCAATGGCATTCGGTTCGGCGCTTCGGCACTTTGGAACTTCGAACATTCGTAAGCTTCCGAATGTCTGAATGGCATGAATTTCATACGAATGTACATTCAGAACGAAACGAATCGCACATATCTACTGGTCACATGAATCCAAGCCAACACCCTGACAGCCTGATTTATATACTATCCCACCTCAATGATTCTGTGTGTCTTTGTTGGCCAAGTATCAGTGAGAAAATCACCAATATTGTAAAGCGCTACGGAATCTTTTGGCGCTATATAAATGGCAATGAAAATAATAAAAATAATTGGCTATCCTCTAACATCAATCACAAAAATGTGCTCATTTCATTGGACAGGGAATAGTGAAACCGTATTGGGCAAGCAAGCATTACATCACACAAAGGGAATTAGCTTATTGGTCAAGATTCCTGTCATCATTCACATAATTTTCCCTTCCTCTCTCTTGTTTTGCCACTTTTCAGAAATCCGAATCACTTAGGCACTTTCGAACTACCGAACTTCATCACTTCGGACATTCATGAGCATCCGAATGTCCGAATGGCATGAAATTTGTATGAATATACATTCAGAACGAAATTAATCGCATATGTCCAATAAGAAAAAAGAAAACAAAAACAAAGTCCCTGGTCTAGACAGCTTCACCAGTGCATACTATAAAATCTTCTCTGGCACCCTTTTGAAAGCTGATTGTCTTAAATAAACAATGAGAGGTCAGCCCATGACCTAAAACCAATTAAGTGACATACAAACAATGGCTAGACACTGTAGTAAAGAAAAATGCATGGCTTAATGTGACCAAAGATACCGAAATGTTACGCAGTAAGATAAATGATACGTGTTACATGTGATTTTTGCTCCAGCGAGAACTTTGAGTATTCCCTACTCTGCTTTACCTCATATGTTGAAAAAAGTTATACTTACATAAAGATTGCCAGAAAGATGCGCTTGGGCGTTTCGCCATTCAATGGTTTTATCAGTGACTTTTGCTGGGGCCACGGGGTGGTGAAGCACGTTGGGGGTTAAGTGTATCTTAATATTGTAATATGCTCATACTACAGTCTGTAACAGTTCTGGATTTTGCTCTATGCTACATTGTAATGATTCCAAAGCAGATGTCATCGATCTGTTGTTTGAAAACCTCAAATTCTGGAAACTTGTCCTAAGCTGCATGGTACCGTTTTCAAAGTTGATGCCCTTGACCTATTGTCTGGCACCCTTACACCATGACTGCAGAAGCTCTATCATGCCTTCATGGATGGCTTGCAGACTTACAGATGGCATGCAACTTGCTAAAATCTCATTAATTGCCAAGCCCAACAAACCCTCTGACGAACCCTTCCATTATAGACCCATTGTTTTTCTTAATTTGAATTACTACATTTTTACCACAATCCTGGCCACCTTATGGAACTGTTTGCATCATTCCAACTAAGCCAACCTTATCCCTAGAAGACATACGGGTGCCTTGACTTACTTATATATGACCAAAACTAAAAATCACCATTCTTATTCCTCTTTTTAGACATTGAAAAAACTTAGACTCATCTGTCCCTTCACTCATATCATGTCACTCAGAGCATGTGGACTTTTTCCTGACATTTTACAACACTCTATTCGCCTTCTACTATAAACCAACTGCCTAGATGAATATCCTGGTTCCTCCTCCTTATTTCTCACTTTTATTTGTCTTATGCATTGAACAATTACTTTTTACTATTCACCAGCACACAAAAATCTCAGGTATTATGTTCCAAACTGAAGCTTATGCTGACATTTTTTCTTGTGTTAAGACAACTAATGACTTCACTACCACATTTGTTTGTATTAGAACATTATTCCTCCATATCGAACTATAAAGGAAAAGTTTCTAAGTCTGAAGCTATCCATGTTCATCTGCTATATCATTCTATTAAATTGTTAAACTTTGATTTGCCCATCTCCAAGAAACCACTTACTCATTTGTTAGAAAATTAAGCAAAATTTTGTTGCCATTGGACCAGTGTATCCATCTCATGACTCGGAGCATTAACGGCTATCAAAATGAATGTCCTTCCCAAACTACTGTATTTATTACAAACTTGCTGCCTTTATCTGGACTGACAAAAAGCCATGTATCTCAAAAACCTTTATGTAACAACTCACCCATATTGTGGATTGCCATGCTCTCATTCTCTCAAAATGATTGGTTGACATTGAGAATTACAATATGCAACCAGATACGCTACCTTATTCAGGGCAGGTGCAAGACTATTTTGTGCCCTAGGCAACACCAGCTACTTGCGCCCCCCACCACCCACAACAACAAAAATAAAAGACATTGTCAGCTTTGTGTGTCTCTGATTCAACTCATTTGTGTTTCTCTTTCTCCCCCAACTCCTCTGTGTGTATCTTTCTCTCCAACTCATTTGTGCGTCTCTTCCCCAAGCACCTCTGTGTGTCTTTGTCCCCCTCCAGCCCTCTGTCTGTCTTTGTGTCTCCCTCAGCCCCTCTTTATGTCTCTTTGTCTCCCCCAAGCGCTTTGTGAATCTTTGTCTCCCTGTGTCTCTTTGCCTATTCAGTCCTTCTGTGCAGCTCTTTACCCCTCTTAGCCCTTCTGTGCGCCTCTTTACCCCTCTCAGCCCTCTGTGTGTCCAATCCTCCCCTCAGCCCTGTGTCTCTTCCCATCCCTCAGACCTCTGTGTACCTCTTTTTCCCCCAACCCTCTGTGTGCCTCTTTCCCCCTTTTCATCCCTCTGTATGCCACTCCTCCAGCCCTCTTTGTGCCTCTCTCCCCCTCAGCCATCTATGTGACTACCCCTCTCTTAGTCCTCTGTGTCTCTCTTCTCCCCTCTCAGTCATCTGTGTGCCTCTTCTCCCTTCAGCGTCTCTCTTCCCCTCCAGCCCTCTGTGTGCCTCTTCCTCCACCCAACCCACCATTGTGGTCTCCACCACCAAGCCAGCTCACCTCCCCCTCCATGTAGCATGGCTGAGCTGCGGACCGCAGTAGAGGATCTTCTGTTCCCTCTACCCAGTCTGACAGGAAGCAGTTCGGTTCTCCCTGCACGCACTTCCTGTCAGACCAAGTAAAGTATACTGAAACTTCTCCACCACCATTAGAAGGTCAGTCGCGCTACATTCTGTGATGCAAATGTATCATGTATTTCAGATTTGACCACAAATGGTCGAGTAAAAACTCAATCTAAACTTAACAGGTCACTCTTACTTGCCTGGATTACTTTTTACCATTTATAACCTTATACTTGGTCCATTTGGGTACTGGGACCTATCCATTGGAGCACCCTGGATTCCTTGATGGAGCACTTCCACTATCTTTTTTCCACTCCTACTTGTAGAGCCTTTTTCTGATATATGCAACTAAAAAAAATTACACAAGCTTTGACTTTGCATGCTGCTATTTAATGACCCACTTGGTATGAAAAATATGCCCCATAATAATTAGCCCAAATTGATTTATTTTTTAAATGGTTGCTACTTTATCCCAAAGTATGCCAGTATAGCAATTAGCGAAAAGTGGGAATCTGAAAACTGAAATTGGCATGTCTGTAAATTCATGCCTCTAACTTAAGTGTTTTTGCACCTCAATGTAAACACTGCCTTTTCTCTGAAAATTTAGTATTTACAATGGAAAAACTGCAGAGACTATCTCTTTGCACCAGAAACACTACATTAGAGGGACACTATAGTCACCAAAACAACTACAGCTTTATGTAGTTGTTTTGGTGAGTTTAGTCAGTCCCTGAAGTCTTTTTGCAGTAAACACTGTCTTTTCAGAGAAAATGCAGTGTTTACATTACAGCCTAGGGATACCTCAACTGGCCACTCCTCAGATGGCTATTAGAGGTGTTCCCTGGGGCACCCTCTGCACGGAGACACTGAACTTTCCTCATAGAGATGCAGTGATTTAATGCATCTCTATGAGGAGATGCTGATTGGCCAGGGTTGTGTTTGTCCTGTACTGGCTCTGCCTCTGATCTGCCTCCTTTACAATCTCAGCAAATCCAATGTTTTCCTATGGGAAAGCATTGTTATTGGCTGAGATCACCACTTCTGATGATGTCATCCAAGGGAGCAGATCAGGGGCAGAGCCAGCACCAGCAGACTGCAATAAAGGTAAGATTTTACTATATTTAGGGGACAAAGGACAGGGGGACTAGATAGTATTTTTAACACTGTAGAGTCACGAATACTGATTTGTGTTCCTGACCCTATAGTGTTCCTTTAAGGTTATATGCTTTTCTAATATCTATTTTTATGAAAGCTAAACCCTCCTGTGGATTTGATTGGCCATGAACGGCCTTTGACCCCAAAAGTAATTACCAGGTTACCAGGTATTTTTTGGGGTGCTAAGTTGACAGAATGTGCATCATTGTACTGTTGCAGTCACGGAGTCCTTGGTTAATAAAACAATATAGACAATTGCATGTACACAGCAATAAGTTGTTCCAGTTGTACAGTGCTGTCAAATACATTGGTACTTTATAAATAATAATTTGAGCAGTATACATTATGTTGGCTTCATTCAGCTGCATGCATTGAGAACTGTTGTTTCTTTGATGATAATGATAGTAAGTTATATAACAATTTGCAGTGATCATAGACTTGTAGCAGTATTTGGATGGTATGGTAGAGACATTGAGCAATACAAAAAATATGCGCTATTGAAAAGAAAAATCAAGTGTGCATTATGTGGATTGCAGTGATGATGGAGGATAGTACAGTGAAGCAGTGGAGCTGTGCAGAGAATGTCTAGATAATGGAATAGAGATACAATATATTATCATTATTAGCACCAACTTATTCTGCAGCGTTTTACAATATGATCAGGGTGAAACAACAAATGAGACATACTTTTACAAATTTTAAAGGCACCAATAGGTTGATGAGGACCCTGCAAAAATGAGTTAAGAAGTAAGTACATAGGTTATAGAACGCTGTGCAGTATGCAGAGTGTTGGCTCAATACAGCAGTACACAATGCTGTGCTGGGATAATAGGGCAGGGCACAGTATGTGGAGTGTGGATATTAAAGCAGTGCACAATATGTGGAGTAGTGCAATAATTAGGCAGTGCACAGTATGTGGAATGCTGGGATAATAAGACAGTGCACAGTATGTGGAGTGATAATAAGGCAGTGCACATTATGTGGAGTTCTGAGATAATAAGGCAGTGCTGTCACGTATTCATCCGCACATAAAAATGTGGTTAATGGCTTTTACCATCCTGACAGGAAAAGTTGTGCCGAGCAACATTACTGTCCTAACAGGAAAAGTTGTGCCGAGCAGCAATCATGCACATGGAAACCTGGTAATTACTTTTGGGTCAAAAGCCGTTCATGGCCAATCAAATTCACAGGAGGGTTTAGCTGAGCAGCAATCATGCACAGCTGGTAATTGCCTTTGGGGTCAAAGGCCGGTTACAGGCAATCGGATCCACAGGAGGGGTATTTAAACCCAACTCTCCTCTTGCTCATTGCCCTGTTGTGGTTTCATGCCTATGGCTATCTGAGAGTGCGTTCCTGATCTTGATTTTCTGGTATTTGACTTAGGCTTTGTTTTGACTTCCCTGATATCTGGTATCCTTGACTTTTGGCTTTCCCTCATCTTTGTGTCTGATTCTGTGTCCCTGACCTCGGCAAGTATTTTGACTATTCTTGGAGACATTAAGTCCGGCCATTCTAAGGTCCGGTAATATGTTATCCTTAGTCCTAGGTGTGACACAGTACTGCGTGCTGGATCAACTTGTAATCCTGACAGGTGCACAGTATGTGGAGTGTTGGGATAATAAAGCAGTGCACAGTATGTGGAGTGCTGGAATAATAAAGCAGTGCACAGTATGTGGAGTGCTGGTATATTAAAGCAGTGCACAGTATGTGGAGTGTTGGGATTATAAGGCAGTGCACAGTATGTGGAGTGCTGGAATAATAAAGCAGTGCACAGTATGTGGAATGCTGGAATAAAAAAGCAGTGCACAGTATGTGGAATGCTGGAATAAAAAAGCAGTGCACAGTATGTGGAGTGCTGGGATAACAAAGCACTGCACAGTATGTGGAGTGCTGGGATAAAGCACTGCACAGTATGTGGAGTGCTGGGATAAAGCACTGCACAGTATGTGGAGTGCTGGGATAAAGCACTGCACAGTATGTGGAGTGCTGTGATAAAGCAGGGCACAGTATGTGGAGTGCTGGTATAATAAAAGAGTGCACAGTATGTGGTGTGCTGGCATAATAAAGGAGTGCACAGTATGTGGAGTGTTGGGGTAACAAAGCAGTGCACAGTTTGTGGAGTTCTGGGATAATAATGCAGTGCACAGTATGTGGAGTTCTGGCATAATAAGGCAGTGCGCAGTATGTGGAGTTCTGGGATAATAAGGCAGTGCACAGTATGTGGAGTGTTGGAATAATAAGGCAGTGCACTGCACCGTATGTGGAGTGCTGTGATAAGGCAGTGCACAGTATGTGGACTGCTAGTATAATAAAGGAGTGCACAGCATGTGGAGTGCTGTGATAAGGCAGTGCACAGTATGTGGAGTGCTGGTATAATAAAGTAGTGCACAGTATGTGGAGTTTTGGGATAATAAGGCAGTGCACAGCACAGTATGTGGAGTGCTGGGATAAAAAGGCAGTGCACAGCACAGTATGTGGAGTGCTGGGATAATAAGGCAGTGCACAGTATGTGGAGTGCTGGGATAATAAGGCAGTGCACAGTATGTGGAGTGCTAGTATAATAAAGGAGTGCACAGCACAGTATGTGGGGTGCTGGGTTAATAAGGCAGTGCACAGCACAGTATGTGGGGTGCTGGGTTAATAAGGCAGTGCACAGCACAGTATGTGGGATGCTGGGTTAATAAGGCAGTGCACAGCACAGTATGTGGGGTGCTGGGATAATAAGGCAGTGCACAGCACAGTATGTGGGGTGCTGGGATAATAAGGCAGTGCACAGCACAGTATGTGGAGTGCTGGGATAATAAGGCAGTGCACAGCACAGCATGTGGAGTGCTGGGATAATAAAGGAGTGCACAGTATGTGTTGTTCTGGGATAAGGCAGTGCACCATATGTGGAGTTCTGGGATAAGGAAGTGTACTGCACAATATGTGGAGTGTTGGGGTAACAAAGCAGTGCACAGTATGTGGCGTTCTGGGATAACCAAGCAGGGCACAGTATGTGGAGTGCTGGTATAATAAAGCAGTGCACAGTATGTGGAGTGTTGGGATAATAAAGCAGTGCACAGTATGTGAGTGTTGGTTTACCAGTTATTCTGTGTGCTAATACTCAGTAGTAAAGAATTAAACAGACCGCACATCTAGCTCAATACTTGTGGAAGCACAGCTCTCTGTACTCCTTGCACGTGGGCTGCCTGTGGTGTGTGTCAATAATGTTGTGTTGGGACAGGCCCTTTGGCATCACACCACACCCCCTCCTAATTTGGTCATGTGTTCCTGTACATTTGCATTAAATGAAGAAGTGGAAAGGGTAGAAACTGTAAAATCCCTGTGACGACACAGGAAGGGGAACAGGAGTGGAAAGTATATTGTACAATGATACACTGCAGGCACACTAACAGCCAGCTTTTTAAAACTGTACTCCGATGCTTGGAAACTTACAGGCGCATTCAGAGAATAATGAAGTATGTATGAAGCAATTCACTTTTAAAACATGACTTGGAAAAAGTCAAGTTAAAAGTTACTAATAAAAAGGACTCTTAATGACTGCAGTTCTACAACAGAATCCAAGCTGCAAAGAGGTACAACAGTGTAATTTAACTTAAATTTAGGGTTAAAGGCGAACACTGTCGGGAATTACATTCCTTCATGGTTATGAATTGTAATGCCTATCACTCTCAAGTAGGCTTCACCATATTCTTCGGTGACAAAACACCACCTTTTAGAGTAATATATAACTAATGTACAAAATGCAAAGCTAAACAGTCCTTGTTTCCTTTTCAGACAGTACTACATGGGGAGTCTGAACATGAGTTTAGGCTGAGAGGGAAAGTGTTTGTGGAAGCACAGGCTTCCAATGCTCTGCCTGTGCTGAGTGCCTCGAGGGGTCAGGGCACTCAGTGAAGAATTAAAAAAATAAATAAAATTATTAATAAAAAAATATAAATAAATGTATTAATCATAGAGGCAGGCTAGGGACATCTAATCAGAGCTTGCCCCTATAACAATTTTATTCTAACTATGATCCCCATTTCTCATTAGTAAATCTTTACTCTGATCAGTAGGGATCTCCCTCCCTCTCTTTACTTGTGTTTTAGTGAGAGAGAGATATCGAGATCTGTGTTTTAGGTAGAGATTTGTAAAATTGTGAGACCCAAAGGCTCTTTTCAGAGCCATTAACCCCGATCTTGCCAGTGATCACTGGCTCTTGCACAGCAGCACTTATTTTGCACTCTCTGTGCATTTTTTTTAGAAGTTAAAGGATCACTATAGTGTCAGGAAAACAAACCCCTTCAGCAGTTTACCTTAATCCAGCTTACCTTAATCCAGCACCGGGCTCCCTCTCCTCCCCCGCCGACGGAAGCTCCCGAGTGGAGCGGAAAGCACATGCACGGCGTTCTAACAGTACATAGGAAAGCATTTCTTAATGCTTTCCTATGGACGTTCTGCATGCTGGATGCGAATTTCGCATCCAGCGTCGCAGATGCGCCTCTAGCAGCTGTCAGGAAGACAGCCACTAGAGGTTGGATTAACCCTGCTATGTTTACATGTGAAGGGTTAAAACCTGAGGGCCTGGCACCCAGACCACCTCATTGAGCTGAAGTGGTCTGGGTGACTATAGCGTCCCTTTAATTTTTTTTTGTGTGTTTTTTTTTTTCTTCTGACAGATCACTAAATAAAGTGATTGTGAACATGTCACAGAGGTCGTATAGCGCTGAGGAGGCGTATGCCATCCTTGCGTTAGAGTCTGACGCGTCTATGGCTGACTCCAACCCGTCCCCCTGCCAGAAGAAGACGTGCTGCTCCAGCTGGCAGTGCTGCTGAGCAGTGGGTAGCGCCTCATCACCAGAGGCCAGATATCCCACCCTTCACTGCAAATCCTGGCATTAATGTGGATGTTGCAGGATTTAGCCCTCAGCAGTTTATGGAGGTGTTTCTGGGCGATGATGTATTGGGGAACATTGTCACCCAAACTAATTTATATGCCCATCAGTTCCGTGCTGCAAAGCCTGACTCCTTTTTGGCAAATCAGCAATGGGCCCCCATTGTGTGCTAGAATTAAAAAAATTCTGGGCATTGACTATGCTGATGGGCATCAAAAAGAAGCCCTCCATCCGCTTGTACTGGAGCAGTAGCCCCATCTGCTCTACCCTCATTTACTCCCAGTGTATGTCGAGGAAGAGGTATGAAATGATTCTACATTTTATGTACTTCAGCGACAACAGCCTGTGCCCCCCAGTTTGACAGGCTGTATAAAATCCGCTCCTCATTACCCACTTCGCTGCCAGGTTTGCAGAGGCTTATACACCTGGAAGGAATATATGCGTGGATGAATCCCTGATGAAATATAAGGGAAGGCTGGGATTCAAGCAGCATATTCTTTTTAAGCACTCCAGGTATGGTGTAAAGGTGTATAAGCTCTGTGAGAGTGAGACTGGGTATACTTTCGGGTGTACGAGGGAAAGGATACCCACCTTGACCCTCCAGGTTGCCCAGAACATATGGGAACCAGTGGCAAGATATCTGGGACCTGATATTCCCCCTGATGAACAAAGGGTACTACTTGTATACAGACAATTTTTAAACAAGTGTCACTTGTTCAAGCTACTGTATTGTTTTGCGGTACATTCAAAAAGAACCGTGCAGGTTTCCCAGGACAACTTGCATGCACCTGGCTACGAAGGGGGAAGACCTCAACTCTGCGCCAAGAGGAGCAGTTGGCAGTTAAGTATAGAGACAAGAAGGTGTTCCTTCTTACCACCATCCACACTAAGAGGACTGTAGAGGTCTCTGTACGTGGCAGAGCTGAGAGCACAAGGAACCCAGTGTTCATCAAGGCCTATAACCGGCATATGGGTGGGGTTGATCTGGCAGATCAGCTGCTGCAGCCCTACCTAATTATATGGAAGACAAGGGCCTGGTACAAAAAGGTTGCAATTTACTAAATGCAGATTGCAACCCACAACATTTTTTTCGTTGTGTAAAAGAGCAAACCCCGGAATAAAACAGACCTTTTTGTACAGTTTCAGCTCCAGATCATTTTGGGGAGTTTTGTACCAAGATGCACCTGTTCCCCAGGCGGTAAATGGAGAGAGCAGGGTTTGGGCTACCCACTTTATTTTTAAAATCCCCCCTACTGCGGCAAAGCAGAATCCTCAAAGAAGATGCAGAGTTTGTTTCAAGAGGGGGCAGAGAAAGAACATCGTCTTTTACTGTCCTAAATGCCCTGGACACTGAATTGGGGACTGCTGCACGCGATGCCACACACTGGTCCATTCAGGGCCAGCCTTAGCGGTGTGCGAGCTGTGCGGTTGCACAGGGCGCCATGGAAGCAGGGTGCGCCATGTGGCCGACACAGCTTGCACACTCCCTGCCCTCCCTATCTTCCAACCAGGCTTAGCAGAGAGAGACTTAAGGGGCAGAGCTAAGCGGCCGGTGGGGGCGGGACTAGCCGAGGCCCGAATCTGCTGCCTGGTGAGTCCACGCTCCTCCCATCTATCCCTATTGTGCCTCTGCTCCCCCAACTACCCCTATAGTGCCTCTGCTCCCCCATTTACCCCTATAGTGCCTCTGCTCCCCAACTACCCCTATAGTGCCCCTGCTCCCCCAACTACCCCTATAGTGCCCCTGCTCCCTCATCTACCCATATAGTGTCACTGTTCCCCATCTACCCCTATAGTGTACATGCTCCCTCCATCTACCTCTATAGTGCTACGGAATCTGATGGCACTATATAAATAAAATAATAATAGTGCCCCTGCTCCACCATATATCCCTATATTGCCATTGTTCCCAGTCTACCATAGTGCCACTGCTCCCCTTATCTACTGCTATAGTGCCATTGCTCCCCCATATACTGCTATAGTGCCCCTGCTCCTCATCTACCCCAGTGCCCCTGTTCCCCCTCATCTACTGCTATAGTGCCCCTGTTCCACAATCTACTGCTACAGTGCTCCTGCTCTCCATGTGCCACAGTGACCCTAATCCTCCATCTACTTCAACAGTGCCCCTGTTCCCCCCCTCCAGCCTATAATGGAAAGGTGTAACTGTGTGTGTGTGCCCATCTGCCAGTAACTGTTTGTGTCTGTCTGCGTGTAACTGTGTGAGACTGTCTGTCTGCTTGTAACTCTGTGGCTACAGTCAACAAATGTCTGTAACTGTGTTTTTATGACTGTAACTGTATGTGTACGACTTGTCTGTGTGTGTATGACTGACTACCTATAACTTTGTGTGTGTCTGTGTGGCTACCTGTACATGTGACTATGTGTCTGTAACTGTGTGTGACTATGTGCATGTTTCTCTGCAAAAATGCACACCTGCATTCCCACATGGGCCTACATACATATTTTTATCTGAATGAAATATCCATCACACTCGGACAATAAATCCTGCACAAAAATCACACACGATCAATACACACATATATCAGACACAGTCAATACACCCATTACAAATATGGTACACAGCCAACACATCACACAATCAAGTCTGACACACACATGATAAATGTAGCTGTCTTCCGAGTTCCGGCCAATCAGAACGTTGCTGTGGATTACCACAGGAAAGCTCTGATACTGTAAGTGCCTCATGAGACAGTTACTGATGGTCTGCACCCAGTGAAGGCACCGACCAGATTCCCAGCAAATTTGATCACCAGAGATCAGCATTCCCCCAACGATGCAAGGTATGATGTTCAACAATCCTATCCTTTTTTTTTTTTTTTATTCTTTTTTTTGGTTTGACGAAGTAGATGGTTAACATGGAAGCAGTTACATTTATGTACGTGACAGCGCAGTGTCATACATTGGCGTACAGAATGCAAATGACAGTTGTCAGTTTAGGCATGCTATATACATCAAGTTTTCTGTGGGTGTCTTCGTCTGAACTTTTGGTGTAGGTGGCAAGCAATGTTAACTATATACAATAGCTTTGATGTGAAGGGTTAGGCTTAGAGAGTAGAGTGCCAGTCCCCCCGCTTCTTGGGGTATGCGACTGCGTACCCACTCCCTTCTGCGCTCTGCAGAATGTTGGCGTGTTTTTGTTTGCCTTTCCCCTCCTGCCAACTTGCAGGTCTAGGGTGCTTGCCTTCGAGAGATAGATAGAAAGGAAAGTAGAGAATTGGAGACAAGTACATGCGTGCTTACAAGTATCGGTTTGATATGGTTACCGGATGAGCTACCGATGGGGGTTGTCAGTTCCCTTAAGCCGTGTTTTATGTACTGGGTTCGACCCCACATTCGTCTAGTAGTGGTGCCGCTACCACCTGTCCGAGTGTTGGTGTGGTGTTTGGCGTTGGGTGGGCCCCAGTCCCGCCAATTTAGGATTGCGTGGATGCTGCCCCGCGCCCCGAGTCGTTGTTCTAAGTATCGTACTGCTCCCATAGGTCCCAGACTTTTTGGAACTTAGTCATAGTGTTTCGCACCTGAGAGGTCAATTTATCCATTATGTAGTTGTCTCGTATTTTTGTCTTAACCAGGGACATATGTGGGAGGTCTGGACATGACCACTGTTGTGCTAGGGACCTTCGGGCCGCTAAATAGAGCATGTTAAGGAGTCTTTGTTCGTGTCTGGGGAGGTCCTTTGTGGGTCTTGAGAGTAGGCATGCCCATGGGTCTAACCCCAGTCGCCTTTGTAGGATTTGGGAGCTGAGCTCCACAACGTTACGCCAGTATTCTGTGACCTTCGGGCAGCCCCACCACATATGTATATACGTGCCCCGCCCCCCACACCCGTGCCAGCAGTCGTCTGTGGGACTTAGTCCCATATGTTTCTGTTTCACTGGGGTCATGTACCATCGAAATAGTGTTTTATAAGATTGCTCTTGGAGTGTCACACATATTGTGGTTTTGCTACATGCTTCCCATATATCTTGCCACTCCGTTCCCTCTAATACCTCCCCCAGGTCGGCTTCCCATTGGTCGGTGTATCGTAGTGCGCCCTCCCTGTTCGAATTCCCATTGAGGTGGTTGTACAGTAGCGTGATGAGTTTAGTTTGTGTTGTCTCATTGTAACATAGTTTTTCGAAGAAGGTTAGTGGTGTCAGAGCCGCCTTCCGTACGTCAGGGTTTTGTGCAAAGTCACGGATCTGCATGTACCTAAAGTAATCTCTTGTTCGTAAGGTGGCTTTGGTGGCTTGGTGTTCGTATGTGACTACATTTTGGTTCACATATAGGTGTACGTATCTTTGGAGCCCCGTGGCCTCTATCCCCTTGTAGTCTCTCGCCTGCATTCCGGGGGGGAAGGCCCTATTCCTAAGGACTGGTGTCATGGTGGACGGGTGGGAGCTGAGGGCGTACTTCGTTTTGGTTTGGTCCCAGATCTGTATGGAGTTGAGTATGGCTGGATTCGCTGTTCTTTGCGCTCTGGGTGCCCATATGGAAAATTGTGGGAGATCCTGACCAGTCATCAGCGACTCCAGATCCACCCATCGTCTCCTGTCTGGAGGCGTGTGCCACTGTATCACCTGTGTCAGCTGTGCAGCTAGATAATAGGTGTAGACATTGGGTAGTCCCAGCCCTCCCCTGGGTTTTGGTCTGTACATGAGGGTGCTGTCAGGCTCCCGCGGGCGGCTGCGAGGGGAGGCTGCACTCCGCTCGCAGTACTCACCCTCCAGCCGTCCGCGGTCCCCTCCGCCTCGTGGGTGCGGCGAGCGGCATCCTTCCAGCCTCGGATGCCGCCCGCCGTTCCCTCCACGTCCCCCAGCGGCAGCATGCATGACGCTGCACGCTGGGAGACCGCCCAGGTTTATACACGCCGGGGTCAGTCACCTGACCCGGCGTTAAAGGCAAAGTGCCACAATCACGGTGGGAGGTCTAAATATCTCCCACGTGTGATTGTTAATTCTGATTGGAAATCATCCAATCAGAATTAACCTGATGGTTTAAATACTTACCTTTCCTGTTCCTCCTTGCCCTGTAGTGGTCTTTGCTTGCTAGTATTGCTACTTACCTTGTGTTTCTGGTTACGTACTCTCTGGCTTGTTTATCTGACTCTGTGACTTTCTCCTACCCTTTGACCTTGGCTCGTTTCACGTTATTCTGTCTTCTGGTTCCCCTTTACTCGGCTTGTCTCCTGACTATTCTGTGTGTGCTTAGCCCGGCCACTCTAAGGTCCGGTACGGCACCTTTTGTGTGTGTGTGTGTGTGCCAGCGTGTTGGGTTCCCCGAATCGTGACATTACAACAGGGCCATAATGGAACCTGCTGACATACCACAGCTCCTAGTTAATCAAGAGGCTAGAATGGATGGCTTGGACCACCGTATGGATCAGTTTGCTCAAGCTTTGCAAACCATTCTGGCTCGTACTGCACACTTGCAACCGGCCGTTCAGGAGGCTGCTGCTGCTGTGCCCGAACCCATTCCCACTCCAGTACCTGTTCCCGCTCATGTAGTTCACATGACGCCGCCACAGCGCTACAGTGGTGACCCAGCATTGTGTCGTGGTTTCCTCAACCAAATCGATATCCATTTGGTGATGAATCCACGCTCCTATCCCACTGACAGATCTAAAATTGCCTTTTTGATAAACCACTTGTCCGGGAGAGCTTTAGCATGGGCCAACCCCATTTGGGAAAATACGTCTCCTATGTCCTTTGCTGATTTTCTGACAGCTTTCAGACGCACGTTTGATCAACCCGGTAGGGTTGCTTCTGCTGGCAAGGCTCTGCTTAGGGTCCGACAGGGTAACAGGTCTGTAGCAGATTACACTATCGAATTTCGTACTCTAGCAGCTGAAGTGGTTTGGAATAATGACGCCCTCGTAACAGCCTTTCAGGAGGGTCTGGCCGCTTATATACTGGATGAAATAGCATCCAGGGAATTACCTGCTCCTCTAGATGATGTTATAGACTATGTGATTCTTATAGATAACCGTATTAGAGAGAGGCGTAGCCAAAGACGGTTGGATACACGGGTGTTACCTGCTCTACCCAGTACTTCCCTGCTAGCGTTACCCGCTCCTGTGCAGCCATCCCCTGAACCCATGCAGTTGGGTGCTACGGGGTTAACTGAGGCCGAAAGAGCGTACCGTAGAAGGGAGGGGTTATGCCTTTATTGTGGGAAGAGGGGGCATCACTGTAAAGCCTGCCCTAAAGTACAGGGAAACTGCAGCACCTAAGGCCTAGAGAGGGGTCGGCCTCGGGTGTTATGACTTTGTCCCCTCATATGTCCATCTCTAGACCGTTTATTACGGTTTCTCTCTTGGTCAATAAAACCACTATAACAACCAAAGCCCTGATCGATTCGGGTGCGGCAGACAACCTTATGGATGAGACCTTTGCCAAAACCGCAGCCCTGAATTTGATCCGAAAGGAGACACCCTTGGCCGTTGAGGCCATAGATGGTAGACCACTGGAGAAACCTCTGGTGACCCATGAAACCCAGGAAATAGTTATGTCTGTGGGTGTTTTGCACAAAGAGAAGTTAACCTTCCAAATAATTGACTCCCCAACAGCCTCCATCGTTCTAGGTTTTCCCTGGTTAGTTAAACACAACCCTGTTCTTGATTGGGGTTGTTTAGACATACTCTCCTGGGGGGAATCTTGTCAGCGAGACTGTGTGGCTCATGTACGTCCTGTCTGTTTACTTAACGTACCCACGGCTAAACCACTCTCGGTTTCTGTGCCCTCTGTTTATGCAGACCTTGCCTTGGTTTTTGAAAAGAGGGA